ACCTAATGTTACAAATATACAAATATTCTACACTCATTACTGATTACGGCCTTAACATCTTGATGAAATTCGCAATGACAGTGTAAAAACAAAATATACACATTCTGGGTGAATGAATGATTAATAAATTAGATGAAAAAAAAATTCAACACTTCCTAAACATAGATAAATTGAAGAAGAAGAAAAAAAACAAAAAAAATTCACAAATCTGGAAAATTCTTAATGTTCAATAGCAAGTAAATGAGGCGCAAAGTTCGAACAGGTCGACAGTTGTATACCCTCTATTGATATTAATTAACAACAATTACCACTTTGAAATATACAATAGCGAATGTCTTTGGGAAGTGCGGTTAAAACTTCCAATATTGTGAAAATGGCCAGGTTCATAGCTTATATACAAAGAAATTGGACCTATACCAACAATATTTCCCAAGGAGATTTTTAATCCTTTGGTCATCACTATTGATGAACATTTTTTTAAATATTTTATCACCTATGAGAACCCAAAATATAAATAAACAGTGAAATATTTTGAGAAACATTTGAAAGTATTATCAAAATAACGAAAATTTAGAGGAATTGTTATATCGGAGCTATAGCTAAATATGGACCAATATTGATAATTTTCGGTTAGGACAATTGCGGGTGATTATAAAAGAGCAATATCATATTTCAGACAATTGTTTGTAAAAACATGTCAAAAATTCTCAAAATAACCAAATTGGGGGTTGTGGGAAGAAGAAGTCTATTTATTGAAGTCAAATATTGATAATTTTTGGTAAGTAAAATTGCTTACCGAATGAACGAATGGAAGGAAGATAACGAAAATAGGGAACTTTTTCAAAAGTGAACCGATATAGCTAATTATCGAATTTCACTTGGTAACAGAAGGGTGGAACTACCTAATCATGATTCAAAGTTAACATTTTCCTGAGATACAAATTGAAAAAAAAAATTATGGGTAGCCTGGGAGCAGAACTTCAAAATACACCTGAACCGAGATTTCACGTCAAGGAATTACCTCATTTGGAAAAAAAACTAAGAACAAAATGAGATCAAACTCTCAGTCGGAATTAAGTCTCAAGAACTACTGCCATTTATGTTTGGATGAGGAAGAACTGGAAACGATCGATTGTTTGGTAGATACGCGATATTTTTTCAACTTCAGAGCTTCATTACCAGCAATGTTTGCTCCGGATTCTTTTGGTCCGTGCCGGGATTGAGACAAACCCCTGACCATGCGGAGAAAGGGTTGTTCCGGCCTTAGCCGGATACAGGAGTATAGCGAAAGGGACTATGTTGCTTCATGCTGCGCCATTACATCCCCCAACGAGTCGTCATCACCGCGGTCCATCGTCTTCGGATTACGCGACTCCCCCGCAATATCGCAATATCAGCCAGTGAACTGACGTTGGAGGTGAACAGGTTAATCGGCGAGCACAATCGGAAAAAGTGGCTAGAACATCTGAAGTTTTGCAACATCAGCACCGGAGTGAGTAAATTGTTGGCAATGGTTAAGTCGCTCTCGAACCCTGGAAGAAAGGATGATCGGACGTCTGTCTCATTTAACGGCGTTGAGGTGACAGATTCGAAGAGGTGCGCGTGTTATTTCAACCGGCAGTTTATATCTTACTAAAGTCCTCAACATGTCGATAGCCACCCTAGTATTTCCCGATGCCTGGAAAATGGGCAGGGTGGTCCCGCTACTGAAGCCAGGCAAGGATGCAAGCAAAAGGGAGTCATACAGGCCGATCACACATTTATTGCCAGTAGCTAAGACACTTGAGGCTTTACAACTCCCTAGCATTCGTGAATGCTACTCAGTTGCTGATCGTCAACATGGGTTCCGGAAGCAGCATAGTGCAACAACAGCTTTGCATGCTATTTTCACACACATAGCGGAAGGACTCAACCAGGGGGGTTACTCTGTATTGCGTTGCGAAAGCAAGTGCGATGCGAAAGCTAAATGCGTTAAAAGTACAATTTGGTACTCTGTAACGCTCGCGCAAACGCATTCGCAAACTAAATCGAAAATAGGGCAACACTGTCGCCACAAAGTAAACAACAACGAAGAATGACAAAAGGAAACGTCAAAAAATTTTAAATAAAAACATATTTTTTGTGTGGTACGAGTATTTTTTGAAACAAAAATATGAACGAATTAAAAACAAAAAAAGAATTTTATGAGATCGATCAAATATAATCTCCCTACGTGACCACGGGTATTAAAATAGAAGTACGAATTATGTGACAAACGTTTTCAAATATTTAATTTTTATAGATTTATACAAAATGTTCGTCTCAATAAAGATTCGTTTATGTATTTATTAAACGCTCGTCTTTCCAAATAGATCCACAACAATTCCAACTCCAATAAAAGAGGCCGCTGCTTTGAAATTGCTTGGACAAGGTGGTTATCAACACCAACCTGTAAATATGCACACATAGTTTCACATATTATATAAAAATATAATACATTACTTTTTCCAACCATCGACATCTTTTACAGGAGGTCAATTTGAACTGATGCCATCAGACAGTTTTTCCACAAATTGTTGGCGCGTTGTTTCGAATTTGAACTCTGCAACTGTCCCTTTGCCAAATCACTGTGTTGCCCCATAAAATCTACTGAAGTTAGGAACTGACGTTGCTGAGTCTGCCACTGTGACTTTTTTGCCTTTTACTTAAAATAATTTACAATTTATATATAAATAAAACCTTTAATTGAGCTTACTTATATGTTTCGCTTCCTTTGCGTTTGCTATTTTGTTAACGCAAGATATTTGCGCTTAACGAACGAGTTTGACATGCGTTTTCGTATTACAGAGTGCGGTGATGCCACATTTGCGTAAAGTAGATGCGAAAGGAGATACGAAAACGAATTAGAGAGTACCAATTACGCGATGCGTTACAATTTTTCTCACGCATCGCAATACAGAGTAACCCCCCAGAACAGGTCGTGTAACAGGACAGTCATGGTGGCGCTGGACCTATCAAAGACATTTGACACCGTCAGTCACGTCAAGCAGAATGCCGCCCTGACCAATTAAATGAGGAGACGAAAATCCTTCCTGTGCGTCAACACAACAAGATGTTGTCGATGCAAAACCTACTTGGGTGTTATAGGAGTAGTCATCCAAATCGTTACCTAATGGATAGACACCCGTCACCTAGGCATGTCAGGAAGGATCTCCATGATCAGGAGAGAGAGGTCCAAAAGGGAGCCTCTAGATCAACAGGACTATCAAGCAGGATTGAATCACATTCACGCGGATGCAGTTGAGGAAACAATTCGAGAATATCGTGTGAATACTATCCTCGGAGATCACCCGCCTACGATAGCTGCAGAAGTGCAGCAGCTACCTCGACTAACCAGAGTAGTCTTGGCACAACTACGATACACCTATTCAATTCGAATCATATATGTTTTGTACTCCATAAGAAAATACATATATGGGAGCTATATCTATTCTTGGGTCAAATAAGTGGACTGTGCAAAATTTCATCTAAATTTAACATCAGCAGACGAACTTGCTTAAATCGACTCAGAAGGTGTTTCTATGCATATTCTCAAAATGAACCATGTACCTTATTGTTGTGAAGGGTATAAAAACAAACGAACGGGCGTTAAAGCTTCTAATTAATTTGGACTATCCGCATTGGGCAAAGAGGACGAGAATTGAGACAAACATCGTGGCTAATTCTTCAAAAGTGAAACCAATATTTTCAAAATGATGTTGTTGTAGAGACACATACGAATACACAAACATATCTTTTTGCAATTTTAAGAGCTCGAACAATGTGCGATTTAACATCGAAAGCAAAGTCAATAACAATATTAGTGAACGACATATTATGGCTCTTTCCGGTGATAGCTTTGCCATAATCTGTCTACAATATTTTGTCCGACAAACAGACCTTACAATTCCGAATAAACGAATGTATCAAGTTTTTTACTCTCTCTGAATCTAATACACTACTCGTAAAGTGTGTAATATTAAGTGTTCACCCGTGAACTCACTTTACATGACATTCTGATGATCTCATCAAACTACATTACTTTGGGAAAAATCTGTCATAACCTATAATACTTAATTGCATCCTATATCCCCTCTTTTTTCCTCTAGTCTATTTTCTCCTTGCAAGTACTCAGGATGAACACAATAGATCGAGGGTTTCCGAATGAAACTCCTGCTGCTAAATAATTGATGGCTGAATATGCTATAACCTAACATAACCTACCCTTCATATTATGGTATTGGGTATAATAAACACAAAGCGAATAATAAAGTCAAACAACGATATGTGGAAAAAAAGGGTGTGCGTACATGATAATATACAATAAATAAATATAATTTTTATAACACTCATTTTTTATTTGTTGTTAATAAATATAGTGGGTTTTATTTTGGTTTTTTTGTTTTATTATTTTTAGTTATAGCATTTTTGTCGTTTGACCTAACATGGCATTTAAAACTATTATTAATTACTAATAATAATTAATCACTTTTACATCTTGTTGGTTTTCAAGTACATATGTATGTATTACAATAATAAAATTGTTATTGTTCATAGGGTGTGAGAAAAAGAATTTAATATTAAAATTAGGAATACGTATTAGCATGGGAACATATTTTCTCTTCCTTCATTGTTGTTGTCTTTCATGAAATTAGTAATAAATTAATAATAAAAACAAGAAAAAAAAACGTTATGGATAATGTATAATATGGTTGTTATGGAAAAATGAGAATGCATCCAAAATAACGAATTGAAATTGATTGAAAAATATTTCAGTTATTATCTACAAAATGGATGGAAAACATAAATCGGCTGGAATATGTATAGCATGGGCATAGCTGAGATTTTGAATGCATATTTTTGATCTGTTCCCGTACTGGAAGAATCTACTAATTTTTAATATATTTTTTCGTTATTATATAGGAGAGAATTTGTATATTCTTGTAGCTTCGGGAACAGGCACGAAGTTTTTTGTTCTTCTTTTATTTAAATGTTATCAATGGACTTAGGAATACATTTAATAGATATTTTATACCACGCATTAAATCTCGCATCCGAGCATCAACGGGAGATTTTATCAACGAATCAATAATCACCGGTGAATTATCACGATCCTGACATTGTAAACATTCAATGGCTGCCAATTTTATATGCGCCACTGGTGAACCACCCAATAAATACTCTTCATAGATATGTGTCGATGGTGGTAAGGATATGACGCGACTATTCGTTAACGTACCATAAAAATGTACCCGATCACCTTCCACTAAACGTTTTGAGAAGTTACCGAACTTATGTTGAGCCTGCAACACAACTTCTTGTCGCCGTTTATCCAATATGCCAGCATACATATTTATACGTATTTCATATTCATATTGATTCCATTTCTGCAGTGAGCATTGTTGATCTAAATTACTTGTTTTTAGGATTTCTTCAAAATCGTTGCACAAACGATCTTGCGGTGCGTTGCATTTATTGATTGCCGACAAGCGATCACCATACCAACATGTTATCAGGCGTGCCAACCATGAAGGTAAATATTTGTTTATATACCAGGCTGGCTTATTTTTTACGCTGGCTATTTGTATTTGTGTAACATCACCCTCCCACGATACGGGCAGACCCTCTAGATGGGCACATTTCAATTGAGTTTTTATTTTATTATTATCCTTCCACCATGCCTGTGGTCCACAATGACTGTAGAATCGTTGCCAGGTTAAATATTCTGGTGGTGGCGGGGGCATATGCACCTCTTCCGTTGGTAGGGTAGTTATTACCGATTGATGATGTTTCAGATCCGGTATCAGAGGATTGAAACGTGACGTATCCTTAAAGCTGGATGTCATATAGGGGAATGTTAGAACACAGGCTGCAGTAATGCAAATTAGAACCTATTGAATGAATAAAAATAATTAAATAAAATTTAAATTATAGTAAAAACGATCTGAGCAACTAGATTTTGGGATTTGTAATTTTTTTTTGGAAAATGAAAGACCTTGAGGATTGTTAAAACCAATATTATAAAAATACCATACAATTTTTTGGAACCATTCATAATTTGCCCTAGTCTGTTATTCGCTAGGGAGAGTTCTCGCTTGTGAAAAAATGTTCACGTTTACATTCTCGCTTTATTCTGAATGAATAGGGAATAGCAAAAACTTCGAGATGAGGATTCGAATTTTCGAAAATGGTGGTTGAAAAAAGATTCGTGTTGCCATATTGTAGTTGTAATGTGTGTTGCCTCATTGTAATTTAATTTTGTAATATTTTTCAATATTTTATTTGTTGATTTTTTTAATTGTTAAATTTTATTGTTATTTAAACTTTATAACAATATAAATATGAAATATCAAGAATCCGCTGTAAAACTGCTTGTAATTAAAAGAAAATAAATAAAAATCTGAAAATATGGCAACGGCTTGTGAAACAGCTGTTTATTGTTTTGATGAAATTTGTGTGCAACAACTACAACAGATTACACAGTTGAGCATGCACCGTTATCAATAGGATTTGCAATGGCATTTTATATGTTATTTTTGAGTTACAAAAAGGCATACAACCATTTATAATATTCAAAATCGTCACAGAAGAAGTATTGTGTCATCACATTCTTCCACTCCCTGTAATCCAGAATAATAAAATTTTCCCCAAAGCGAATTTTTTCACTTTCGAACTTGATTCAGAATAAGAGGGAAGTGAAAAAATTCGACGCCAGTTCTGGTTCAGAATAACTTTAAAGGGAAGAGCGATAAAATCCACGTTGAATTGATGTCTCGAATAAGGCTGATAATAAATATAATATAATGACTAAGAACTCCGAAATCCAAATTCATAGTTTAAATTTTTGAGTTAAGGACTAATAATTTGTTTTTGTAAGTAGACATTCCGATGGCATAAGTATCACAAAAAACTGCTATCAAAGTTTTTTCGTTGCTGAGTCAAATTGATCCGATAATATCGGTGGAAATTGTAGAGATTGATTGTTTTTCTCTTGAGCCGCTTTATGCAATTTACAACCAGTGCGGAGCAGTATAGTCGGACGGGGCCGACCATACGATACCCTATACAACTGCCACGGTACTCTAACTTTCTGCGGATGTTTATTTCGAGCCTGGGCAATATTTCGTGATATCAACAGCACCTCTTCCTTACACTGACATATTTTCCGAATATTCCCAATATTCAGTACAGCACTGCTAATTACTTAACCACATTCCCTTGGACGTGAGTTGTGTTGTTATGTTGTGGCCTATAGATCGACTCGAAAAAAATAAGTTTACGGTCTACTTCATCCCAATATTCTTATCATACATACATACATCACTATAATTTGTATCAATTTAAAGGCCAACCACTCCTCTTGGATATACTATCAACTTCTCGGCTCTATGTCTTTCAGGAGTAAATATATATAGTATATATTTGACCCGCTATATATTGACCGATCTTTATCAAAACAGGCATACTTGTTCTTTGGCCCAATCCTCTTCTCCATTTAAAATTTTGAGATGTTTGGGCCATAATTGCGGCCTCTGTAGCAACCAGAAAAACCGACAAAAATTAAGTATTTGGTTCATTTCATCCCCTAAATATTAAACGGTATTTTCCAAAAACAATAGGGGACTTCATTGGCCAGAACCCACCCTACATGCAAAACTTCGTGAAGATTGGTTCATAACTGTGGCCTGTATCGTGTTTACAAATTATAATTGACAGACGGACGGACACACATGTCTAGATCGACTCAGCTAGTCGAGATATGACGATCGGTATACTTAAAGGTGGGTCTAGGACCAATATTTCGCGGTGTTACAAACTCTTGGGGCTACACAAAGCTATAATACCCTGACAACATAGTTGTGTAGGGTATAAAAATGTTTAATTCTCTGAACCCGGAAAGCCGAATTGAGGTCAATTCGGTTGGAAAATGAGGTGAAATCCACCCTCGCGACACATCCGTCAGAACTTTAGGTGTTATCGTCATGGTATCGAAGACGCCATTCACAGATATACTAGTGAAGCAACGTCCTCCTGCCATTTCGAACAGAATTAAGGTCAGAATGTAGTTATTGTTGTAGCAGCTTGTACTGCTGTGTATTTCTTCTTATTCTCCTTAATTTGGTTCTGCTTCTAACTCCAAGTTCAGGAAGGCTCCGACCTGTATCGGTTGAGTCCAAAGAGAAGATGAGGTTAGGTGAGTGGGTTTGGCTGGGAGCGTTGAATATATGTAGCGTGTCATGTGGTCCATTACCGCACGCCGGGCAGATATTATCGACCTCTCCATCAATTCGTGCCCAATATGAATTGAGGCGGCTACACCATACAGATCTTAGTTGTGTTGTGCTATTGCTGTAAAGAAGATTACCATTAGGTCGGACTTTCTTCTCCCCCTTGGTCTTCTTTGCCACAAGCGATACAGCCTTTTGAGAAGGTTGCAGCGAAGACTTGACAATAGGTCTGATTTTAGTCTACCTTGAATATGGGAGAACCGAAGACTGCTCTGTTTTAGCAACAAGGGTTTCTTCGCAGCTTATTACCTTTCCTCCGTTAATCTCATCCTCTTCACTGCCACAGGCGTTGAGGACACAATTCTTGACTTTGGTCCCGTGTTTCTGATTTTATGCAATACAGTAGGCGGCTTCCTTAGCCGTTGCCATTGCGTTAGAGATTCTGACAGATGTAGACGCATTGTGCGAAGTGGGAATTCGATCATCCAGAAGATTCCTAGAGGCATTGTGAGGGTTGTCTTCCTCGTACCTTTTCACGACCTTAAGGCTCTTCTTGACCCAAAAAATTCTTTTCTCGGGTCTTGTTGGACCAACTCTCAAATACCGAAGGAGTTGCAGATCGAAATATAATTTAACATGTGTTCATAACAGAGATGGAAGTTTCCAAAACACTTAACTTGTTTCTATTTATACCGCGCTTTTTGTGCTGGGCTAAGAACTTTCCAAACTGCACTTGTAATGACCAATGATCCAATATATCACATTTTCATTACCAAACATCCTAGGAGAAGTAAAATTTTTTATGCAAAATTTAAATACTGCGAACTCTATTGAAAGATTTCAACAGACGGTCATACATACATCGACATAGGATTTTATTGTGATCATGAATATACAGTGGTGGACACGTAATTAAAACATTTACTGTGGTAAACATTTTTTGATCAGCCCTCGATTCTTTTGAAGTATTTTTGAAATTTTTTTAATTCAGAACACTTCGATATATTGCACTTAAGAGATTTGGTGCGAAAAGTATTGCTGCAATTTTTCCATAAATAATAGTTTTTATAAAAAAACATCAACATTAATGTGGTCACATAATTAAAACATTGTGTACTTTTTTACTTAACTGCATTTTTATGAAAATGTCTTTAAAAAAAGCTCTTTAGTTTACTTAAATTATGTAAACTAAGCACCGATAAAATCATTTACAGGTAAAATTTTTTGAAAAAAATCTGTCAAAATTGCCAAAAAAATTTGTACAGTACACATACCATTCAGAAAATCACCCTTATTATAGAAAATAAAGGTCTAAATGCACCAGAAATTGCTAGAATTAGTAGAAAACAATAAATAATTCTTAAAATAAATAAATATTTAAAATAAAAACTCAAAAAAGGGGAATTAACCTAAAGGAAGGATTCAATTTCGATAGTCTTTATTGAAGAAGGCCGGAATATTTTTGCAGTACGTGATGTGTTTACTCGTAAATATAGGCATTGATCTCTGTTCGTTCTGTTGTGACTGATATATTTTTTGATCAAATATATTCTGTACTACTCGAACAATCGATTTGATATATTAAATGCCAATATCAATCGATATTTTCTCACATACTGCAAAAATATTAAGGCTTTCTTCAATGAAGGCTATCGAAATTGAATCCTTCCTTTAGGTTAATTCCCATTTTTTGAGTTTTTACTTTAAATATTTATTTATTTTAAGAATTTTATTGTTTTCTACTAACTCTAGAAATTTCTGGTGCATTTGGACCATTATTTTCTATAATAAGGGTGATTTTCTTAATGATAGGTGTACTGTACAATTTTTTGCAATTTTGATAGATTTAACAGTTTTTTTTTTCCAAAAAAAAAATTACCTGTAAATGATTTTATCGATGCTTAGTTTATATAATTTAAGTAAACTAAAGATCTTTTTTAAAAACATTTTCATAAAAATGCAGTAAAGTAAAAATAACACAATGTTTTAATTATGTGGCCACATCAATGTTGATGTTTTTCATAAAAACCGTTATTTATGGAAAAATTGCATGCAATATTTTCTATTTTCGCACAAAATCTCTTATGTGCTATATATCGAAGTGTTCTGAATTAAACATTTTTCAAAAATACTTCAAAAGAATCGATGGCTGATCAAAAAATGTTTACAACTGTAAATATTTTAATTACGTGGCCACCACTGTATATACTTAAGGGACTCCAGTAAATATTTCGAGGCGTTATGGTGGAGGTCATACAAATTAAGAAAGCAAGTTGATCCTAAAATCGATCGGAGCTTAGCTGTGTCAAAACATGGAAAAACCTTGAAAATGATCTCTTATGAGTAGACATATATATATATATACCAATTTTTAATACCAATCTAGGAAAATGCATTCCAATACTAGTAGGAATATTCCTATCTTAAGAACAACTTTTGGGGACCTTTTTTTCTTTTCTAATATCAAAAAATTCCATTCAACTCACCTGTAAAATAGTTACATATTTCTGCGTTGTACGATTTATGGCCAAAAAGCAGGAAAACAAAACAGCCAACAGCGAAACGATGACAGTGCTACCCAAACGTAAATTTGGATTGGTGAAACCCAACCATTCGACGACAACAAAGACAGGGATTAACAGCGACACCAAACCGAAAAGTGGTAAAAATAGCAGGACACCTGCCAAGCCAAGGGTAGCCCGTACCACACCAAACATTGTAGCACTTTGGGCACTCGTAATGCACAACTGCAACCAACTGAGAGTAACACAGTGCGGAATTAACGTCGTATATGTTCCATGCCAATTTGATCTTTTGGCTAAGTGTACCAGAAACACTGGTATCAACAAATAGAGAGCCGTTCGACAATTCAAACAAAACTCGATACCATTACCAATGACAAAGGAACAAAATGTTGGCACTTTTAGATCCAAGAAACGCCATCCCGTAGTAACAACATCGTCCATTTCATAGGGATATTTGGCCAAAACATTTACACCAAATGATATCAGAAATATCCAATCGGGAAATCGTTGTGTCGAATACATGAATGCCAACATCGAAAAGAACACAAAAATGCCAGCCACAATGGTCAGCTCGGAATGCGGTAACCATTCGGGTGGCAACAGGGGATATACCAAAAAGTTGCCTATGAATGCACAGAAGAAATATAAATATGGCTGCATATTGTTCCGCAGGAAACGATTTTCCGATATATCCGCTTCAATATTATGATCACCATAGGATAGAAACAGTCCCGACCATATGCGAAAATCAATAAAATCATGTTTGGTTTTCAGCATTTTACAGGTGGACCAAATCATTACGGACCAACAGAGGTAATAAAATCCCACCGGCAAGGCTGTTGTGAGATTATCCGTAGACACCAACCAGTAGACCACTAGCAGCACCGCCAGTCTAACACTTTGTGGTACACGTTTCGGGAAATCGGCCACAATGTTAATTAAACGATGATATAACAATGTAAAGAATACAATGGGATGGAATAATAAACGATGAAAGCAAGGTACATGGTCCAACGAGGAAGGATGAGGCACCGTTAAGGTCATTGCGTCATTAACAGCCGGCATTCGCCCTGCAGCATAATTCACCGCTGCCGAAACTAAGTTCTCCTCGGTGATGCGTTCGTTACCCGCCTGCTGTTCGGGTACATTCAAATGACTTCTACGCGCTTTTCGTTTGCGTTCTTTCGGTTGATGGCGTAAATTAATCGAACCATTACTGAGTGAGGGTCCCGAACCATCTTCAAGGGATTGTTGCTGCTGTTGGGGTAAGTGGTCCTCATCTTCGGATGTTGATGTTGAATCACCTGGATGTCTACGGGCTTTTTGCATTTTGTAGATTTCGCGCATTTTACGTTCCAGTTGTTTGGGTGTTATGTGTTTACCACCATTCGAAAGGCAGGCGAATAGTTCACGTGCTGCCTTTCGGGCAGCCCTTTCGCCCGGAGTCATGGAGAGCGATAAACGAACTTCATTTTCATTCTCCGCCGTTATTCCACAGCCTTCATCATAGCATTTTTGCAAAAGGTTTGCTGCTTCTTCATGGCCCTGTTGGGCAGCACATATAAGCCAATGGACGGCTTGTTGATTCGAAGCTTCTACATTGTCCTCTGTAAATTGAAATGACATTTTAAATTAAATTATTACCACACCTTTGATTTAAAAAAAAAAACGTACCCAAATTTTTCTCCAACAGCTGTTTGGCCAAGTCATACTGTACTTCGGAGCAGCCCTCTGATGCAATATGGTATTTTAAGTTATTCAATGATGTGCGATCTGTGTTGTTCGGGATACAAAAGAAAATTTTTTTTATCTGAATTTTACATTGCGAATGAAAACACTTTGGGCGTAACTTGGTCTTACCTTCCAGATTCCACTTTCGTCTGGCCGATGTCGAACCCATCGGTTGGTTTTTTGTCCAGGTTGCCATTTTTTATCCCTATTTGGTGTTGCATCAACATTTCAAAGCCTTTGGGCCTCTGAAATGTTCGCAGCAAATTTGTATTAATTTTGCGCGAATTTTACACCGAAAGCAAAATCGCCGATAAAGATCACGACTGAAACAGAAAATTCTCTGTTTAGAATGAGAGCACAAAGTGAACGATGCAAATGTTTAGAAAAAGTTAAAGCAAATGTGCGCAACAGCTGTTGCTAAAGAAGGGATCTATACATTCGACTACCGGCAAGAAAATATGGTTATTGGATAACTTTCAGTCAAGTGCGGTGGGATTAATATTTTATTTTTGATTCGTTTACACCACGTCCAAGAAGGTGTCCGTATTCGGACATTAGTTCTATGTGAGAAATCCATAAGAAAATATAGCTGTAGCGCTTAGGGCCCAGATTACGATTGTTGTGGAAATCCGTAGTTCCGGAGATATGGGACTCCAAAGTTCCGATTGGAGTCCGGAAATTTTACAAACGAGTAAGTCTCAATTTAGATTAGGCGAGTTTACTTGCGGCAAGTCTTTGTTTGTAGGAGAGAGGGGTAAGGGGAACAGAAGTGGAAAAAAATTGCTCGTACCGACAATTTTCTGGCAATTCGTTTTGTGTATTTTGTTTGTAGTGCCATTTCAGAAAAAATAATTCAATTCAGAAAATATATGTTTGCAACCGAATTGCCTTGTATAGACGCGTGAAGCAAGTTCAAAAGAGAACGATAAAAATGCCGCAAGTAAACTCGCGTAATATAAATCAGAACTAAAACACCAAACCGAAAGCTGTGGTGTAGGCACATCCTCCTGTAGAGATGAAAATGAAAACCTGGCGAAGAAGATATCCCAGAAACAATAACAGATGACGGTAGCAATTAATCGGCTGAAGAACAATAAAGCAGCGGATATTGATGGATTACCAGTAGAACTATTGAAGACTGGTAGTCAGATGCTGGTCAGGAGCATCCACCAGCTGATTAGTACAATTTGGCTAGAGGAATGCATGCCCAATGATTGGAACCTCAGCATCATGTGTCCCGTGCACAAAAAAAGGGGACAATACGATATGTGCCAAATATAGAGGAATAAGTCTCCTTCCCTTCGCATATAAAGTGCTATCCAGTGTACTGTGTGAACGACTGTATCCAATGGTCAATGACATTATCGGCCCATACCAATGCGTCTTCACACCTGTCAAGTCCATCGGAAAGGACCTCTCTCTAAGTAAAGTATGTAAGCATTCAAAACAATACACACACACACAACATATTTAGTTTGATTTCATAACCAAGCCACTTTGAGAAAAATTTTTAATCAGATGGTAGCTATACCCTACCTTGTAATAATTATACCATGTAGCTACCTATGATAAAAATTTAAAAACTGTCCTCAATCGGGCCCTAAACTAGACTTGTTCCATAACTTGAAGTCATGATTATCCCACATTGAACATTTTTCGAAATTTTTGCAACACCAAGAACTATATAAGGTCGGTCAGAAAGAGAAAAAATAGAAGGAATCTACAAATTTGTACTATTTTTTCGATATCAAAAAGGAACAATTTTTATCGTATTAAAAAATTTACAATTTTAAAAGTTCTGGAACAGATATTTTATTATGTTGCGTTTCAAATCTTGTAAATATGGCATTACAAAACCCCTTCCATGTAAATTGACGTTGTCGCCCGCAATGTATTCCTACGTTGACGCTTTTGTAATTTATAAACGTCGACTCTTTGACGCCGTTGTTGTGCTCAATTATCAGTCAAAAGAGGCGATGAAGAAGAAGAACGAAAGTTTTGCGCCACATTTTGCACATTGTCAAACATTTACTGGACGCCGGAATATTTTGTTTACTTGTTGTCCACCGTTAAATTTCCGTTTTTTATTAATAAAAATAATAAAAGTGTTATTTTATTGAATAAATTTACATAATATAAGAATAAAAGAAACAGCCCAACATGGATAAAGCATTACATCAGCAGTTATATTCCGGCATGTCACGACATTCATTGGGTGGTGCATCAGCAGCCGGCTTACGAGGAGCTGGAGCTGCTGGCAGAAAATCATTGGGTGGTTCGGTATTGGCATATGGCAGCGGTGGAGGTGGTTTGAAAAAGACAACAGCCAATGTAACAACTGGCATGGGACAGAGGTAATGTATGAATTTCCATATGTTGATGTGTTTCTATAGTTCCCTTTTTCTGCTTTTCAGCCGTTACAGTCTATCGGGTAGATCCAATCAATCTGTGTTGGGAATACGTTCCGATTTTAATTTGGTGGAGAGTTATGGCTTTCAATTGCCCGTTCTGGTAAATGAGGCACTGACCTTCAACGAGAAAAGTCAATCGGTGTCTGTACGATGTGCCGAAAATGGTTGGGCATGGGTTGTGCATGGTAGACGTCTTTTGGTATGGCAATATAAAGATATGCGCAATTCGGGCACCGGCAATTCTCCACCAAAAAGTGCTAAAGATTTAATGGCTCGTAACACACAAAGAAGGCCTGGTGCAATGGCACAGTGTCGTGAATTGACTTTGCCGCATTGCGATATTGGCCACAAAGCTTCGTTGGTTAGTGTATTTCTGAGTGAAGGCCAACAAATGGCTTCATGTGTTGCTGTCTCTCCCACGGGGGATGTCCGCTATTGGCCGTCTATAGCCCATGATGGTAGTTCAGTGGATTTGACAAATATTTTAGATGGCCAAGAGTTTGATTTTATGCTCACACTGCCACCACAACATATGCCAATGAGTTATTTATTGGTGACCACCACATGCAGTTTGGTTCTGTTGCAATTGCAGTTGCAGAATGGTCGTCATGTGTTGCAGCATAAAACTATAAGGCAGCCATCGGGCTTTTTGGGTGGTATTGGTAAAAAATTTGCATCGATAATTATTGGAATGAATAGTGGCAATGATAAGGAGAATGTAAGTAAATAAAAAAAAGAATTATAAAATCCAAACGTAAAATTCTAAACTAGTTTGGAGTTTAGGGGCTCATAACGTATTTTTCTGATCACGAAAATATATGACTTTCATGGGAGAAATCCATACTTCCCGAGATATGGACCTCGGAAGTGCCGAAATTCCTTTGCTCATAACTTCGTCTTTTATGTGCCGATAAAGGACGAGCTTTACCAGTGGTAAACAATTCAGAAAAATCGGAGATGGGACCCTAAACTCAACTTTAGTCGTACTTTTTATCACAACACATATCTTATTGATATGTTTTCAGAAATTTGTTGCTGTGGCATATGATCAAAAAGCTTGTGGCGATCGTGAAGCTGTCATTTCAGTACTTGCCGATCGTTGGATACAGCGCTGGCGCTTAAATCATTCGGGCAATAATGAACAATTACTATTCGAAGATGGAGAGATTATAAGGAAAATTCGTGATGAATTTTTGCAAAAGTTTTGGAATGTTAGAGGTAAGAAAGGATACTCGCAGAATTTTGAAACATAAATATTAATTATCCTTCCTATGAAGATAGTGCATATGTGGATTTACATCTATTGGATATGCGTATATATGAAAACAAGACCTACATATTGGCTGGGGCTATAAACACCCCGCACACACCTCAAATGTATTATGGCATAGGTAAGCTTGAAATATTTTTATTTTGATTTTTTTACTAAAAAAACTTTCGTATTTCTTTAGCCGTCCTAACAACCACCAATGAAGGCATGCATTTACAATCCTTTGTACCATTGAAATTATCTCAATTTTATAGTGTTTCCACTGAAAATGAATGCATGAGCTTACGTTTCATCATCTGCCGCACTCACATTTATATCTATAACGAAAAAGTCGTCTATCCCCTAAGTTTGGCAAACATACAAATGGGTGAAATTGATGCAGAAAAAATTGAATTTCATTTACAAGATGATCGTATTTTAAGTGCAGCAGTATGTGGCCAAATCCCCCTAATATTTAGTCGTACACATGGTTTGGTTTCAATAACACCGGGAGATTTCGATAGTGCTGAAATGATGGTTAATATGACATCTGGCAGTCCTGATTTATTTTCACCGATAGCAACTGCCGCCGCTGTTGGTGATACAAGTCTACGAGAACAAAGTGTCTTGTCGACATCGATGAGTAATGTTAATGAACAAAATTTATATATGTATGAATTGGATCCAGATTCTATATATTCGGAATTTAAAGATGATGTTAGTCAATTAAAGGCTGCATTTATATATCGTTTGAAACGTAACACGGCAATGTGTAATACAATTTTGAATGAATTGTTAAGAAATAATGTCGAACCAAATACGGCTGGAAAACTTTCTGAAGCGGCTCAGTTGGATAGGTAGGTTCATATTCATATAATTAATTTTATTATTAAAAATGTTATTTTATTTTTATTTTTCTTCGCAGAATGGTTATTACAATTGCCGAAGATTTGGCTGAAGACGTGCCCGCTTCTGATCCCCGCTGGGAACAATTGTTTGAAGAATCCACTGCCCATAAACATGCCTTGGGTAGTTCTTCTTCTTTGCAGATTATCACACAATTGAAGGAGAAAAATTTAGCTCTTCGACATTTTGTTGAATTTTTACATGCCACTGGTTTGTGGGATAAGGTGCGTATAGATTAAAAATTATGGACTGAAAAAACAAATCTAAAGATCTTAACGGCATTTTTTTGGTATAAGATAATAAGTTGACCCTTAAAGTAGGAAGACACAAACTCTACAACGAATAGTCCATTCTTTAACTTCGATATGAAAACCAAGTGATATTTAGAATACTCTGCCTATATTTTTAATATCATTGGAGAAGGAAATAAAACAAAGAACTGAACATCATTTTTTTAAATATGAGACCATAAATTGACCCTTAAAGTAGACATGTTAAAACTCAAACAACGAACAGGTCACTCTTTGACCTTTTAGAAGACACCAAGTGATTTTTAGAAGACACTGCCTCTACAAGTTTGTGGCGAAATTACATCCGGAACACTTTATCGGGAATATCCGCCAATACACCTACACTTGATTCTGATATTAAAATAAAATTTCTTCGGAACCTCATGATCGTTGGAGATCACCCTTTTACTAACTCTTTTCGATTTGTTTCGATTTCAGCTCAGCGCCATACCTAGTGCCGGTGGTAGTGTTCTGAAACCAACATGTTTTGTTATATCGGACATTAATGAACGTATTATAGCAGCAATTGCCTTAAGGAGTATACAAAATAAGTAAGTAAATCTATCATAGTCTCAGAATATTTCTTAAATAAAGTAACATTCTATACATATTTTCCAGATATAACAAACTCATCGATGAAGCCATTAATCTACTTGTACAACGTTGGCAAGAACGTCCACAGGGCAATTTAACAGCTCAAGATTTGTTTTATGTACGCATTTGTAAATTTCAAGAAATTCTACAGGCATTTTGTGATTTAGCTGATGGTCGTATCGATACACAACATCAAACCTCATCGTTGGCCTCATTCATACACGACATCAATGTTGTCGTCTTGCACATAGTTAGTGAAGTTATGAATTTCCGTGAGCAAAATGCCACCGTCTATTCATTGCCAGCTGATAAAATGGATACCTATGAATATTTACCATGGACAGCAATGTCGGGTAATATTGGTATGCGTGATGCTCTATCACATCTCATTGATGTGTCTGTGAAATACGGGGCACATGGTACAAGTGATCCGGACTTGAGACAACGTTTATATCAACAAATATTGGAATTAATTGATATTGTACTGGATGGACGTAAACAATATTTGGATAGTGTACGTGACACTGAGAAATTTAATGTCCTACAACAGCAATTTGAATCACAACGAAGGGCATTGATATCCATATTGCGTAAGTAGATGTAGTCATAATTTTCATGGTTCAGTGACCTGTCAAAAGCCAACCAAACAATGTTAAGGTTTCTGTTTACATTAATAATTTGTTTCGTTCTCTATTTAGTTGATGACCAACAATATGAAGCTGTTGCCAAATTAGCCGAGAAATACTTAGATTTCCAATCCTTGGTAATATTGTGTGATGTAACCAATAATCAAGAACGTTTAGATGCCTATATTAAAAAATATGAAGAATATGATTTTTCACAATTTGCCATTAACTGGCATTTACGTCAGAATCGCCAGGGTGAAGTATTTGAACGTTTCAAGGGTAATCAAGCAGCCTTGTCGCAATTTATGCGTGATCATCCCACATTGGGTTGGATACAACTTGTATTTAATGGTGATTTTGAAAGAGCCTCTAAGACCCTGTTTCAATTGGCCCAAACTGAGACGGAATTTGTGCAACGGAAGAAGGTATTGTATATTTAGATTTGCATTTAAATATATTTTAATTTTAATCTTTGTGTTTAGTCGATGCTGTCTCTGGCAAAATTGGCTGCATTTGCCGCTGCTGATTCTGATGTTAGCCTACAATTGGAAACCATAAATGCCGAATTGAATATTGTCGACTATCAGGAACAGTTAAGTGATCATTTGTTGCAGGCATTCGGTTATGAGGTGGAAAATCAAAAAGTTCTTCGCATTGAAGAAATTATCAATGTAAGTATTCTCTATAAAAACATCAGAAATTAATCGAAAGTTCCTTAAAAAATAGTTTATTAAATAATGCAGACCTGCTTCGTCAACAAAATCCAGAATACAAATATGTAATGTAACTATAACCTATTTAAAGAACGGGGCATATGCTTATGCTAGGCCTACCTTCGGCAAACCAACAGCATTGCTAGTCTGAGGATTCTAGTCTATGACTCTGCTTTCTGAGTAAACAAATTCTTCGGAAATTTCTTTAAAACTTGGACGGCTCTGGCCTCTCTGGTGAAAAATATTCTTCTGAAATCTCTACAAAAATTTACACCTGATATTCTGGTGAAAATATTCTCCAGAAATCTCTTCAAAAACCCCACGCCTATGGCCTGGTGAAAAATATTTTTCAGAAATATCTTCAATAATGTACACCTAATCCATGGCCTCTCTTGTGAAAAATATTTTTTAGAAATCACTTCAATACATGCACATCTGTGACTTCTGGTGAAAAATATTCTTCAGAAAAAGTCAACGCCCTCTGGCTTTTTTGGTGTAGTTAAAAATATTCAGAAATCTCTATGGCCTCTTTCGGGAAAAATTTTTTCAGAAAAAAATCATTGCCTATGGCCTTTTTGGTCTGGTGAAAAATATTTTTCAGAAAAAAATCAATACTTATGGCCTTTTTGATCTGGTGAAAATATTCTTCTATGCCATTTGTTCGTCTGAAAAAAAGATATTATTCAGACAACATGTCTATGGCTTTTCTGGTGTCAGAAAAAATATTCTTCAGAAAAAATTCACTTCTTTCTGGTCTCAGAAAAATTATTCTTCTGAAAAAAACTAGAAAAAATACACCCCTATTACCATTCTGGTCTGAGAAAAATATCCACGCCTATGGTCTTTCTGGTCAAGAAAAATATCCACGCCTATGGTATTTCTGGTCTGAGAAAAATATCCACGCCTATGGCCTTTCTGGTCTGAGTCCTTGAAAAAATATTCTTTAAAAATACACGCCCATTGGAATGCTAGTCCTTGAACAAATATTCTTTAAAAATCCAGTCCTATTGGAATGCTAGTCCTTAAAAAAATATTCTTTAAAAATCCACACCTATTGGAATGCTAGTCCATGAAAAAATATTCCTAAAAAATCCATGCCTATTGGAGTGCTAGTCCTTGAAAAAATATTCTTTTAAAATCCACGCCTATTGGTCTGCTATTCCTTGAAAAAATATTCTTTTAAAATCCACGCCTATTAGACTGTTAGTCCTTGAAAAAATATTCTTTAAAAATCCACGCCTATGGCCTTGCTAGTCTAGGAAAAATATTATTTAAAAAATCTACGCCTATGGTCTCTTCTTTAAAAAATCATTTGACCCATTTTTTATTTCTTCCAGCTTTTTATTGCCGATGAACATGATGCTGCCACTGAATTCGATTTTCGCAAAGCCTTGGAACTGCTCAATTATCTGGAAGATCCATTTGAGGCGAGGCATAAAATTTGGTGTTCGGCAATATTGCGAGACAATTGGACCCAATACGATACAAATACAGCAATTGATTATATACAGAATCTAATGTTTTTCAAATTGATTGAATTGTGTCATTTGATGGGTAAGTTCAATGATTAGTTGTCAATATATTCTCCACCATTAACATATTTTCAATTTTCAGATGGTGATTTCGAAACTTTCCTCCCGCCCATGGAAGAATTCTTGAATAGCAGTGATTTAGAGGAGTTGGTCAATAACAAATCGTTTCAATATCTTTTGAAGCTCACATATGAATATGTCAATGATACGTTTAAGAATAAAAAAGCAGATGATATGATGGAAATGTAATAAGAACCCATACACCCATACATACACATTTGTTTAGTTTGTTTATTTTAAGTTTTCGTATTAATTGTTTAGTAACTTAATAAAGGCTAAGAAATACACTTTTGTTATAAAAAAATTCCAATGATATTGAATCGAAAAAAAGTTTATGATGTAGTCTGTGCATCATGAATCGCGGGCATTATTGTCTCCCATTACAATACATGTTATTTATTAATTCATGTTTTAATCTCTTTCAGAGGCAAATCACATTAGAAATATGCATCAAAATGTTTTTGTTTTTTTTTTCTGTTACATCTTCCATTGCTCATTTTCCATTACTTTTGCTCTCGTCGTTGTTGCAGCAAAGCACATGAAACCTTAGCAATGCACACTTTGAAGTCAATCACTTCTATTGACTTGTTGGTACTTGGCTATTTCTAAATATCAAAGAGTTTAGTTACTTTACGACTATTTGACGCTGCACACCTTAGTTTTACTTCTAACTGACATTCGCATCTTTCGGTTTTGTTGTTGTTGTTGTGGTTTTCCAAAGATATCAAATCATAGGGAGGAATAATTGCCATGGCGGATGAAACAACTCCTTTGACAACAGGAGTGCCACAAGCCTCCACATCCACAATGCCCGGTCCGGAATATGTTTTTCCCGGCGGAGTATCACCAAGATCACGTCGTCAAAAATTACACCAGTTTCAATGGTGTTTGGGTTTATTGTTTTTGTGAGTGTGTGTGAAATACAAATTATATTGAAAAGTGAATACTTACAAGTGCAAGAAAAAAATTAATGGAAAATATGAATATGATTAATCAAAAAATAAAATTTTTAATTTCACAATTTAACGTGGAACTAAGAAAGAATGATTTTTCAAAGAAAATAACGATGGAACGTGGAATTTCTAAATAATTATAAGAAAGGACTAGAAGCAGAGCTATAAGCGAGAATTCTTTTCAAAAATATTTTTTCAACAACAAACACAAATATGGACTCTTTAATGAAGATTTTTCAATGACTAGCACACCAATTAGCGAGGATTTTTAAAAAGATTTTCTTCAAGGAGTTATTTTAAAGATTATTTTTAAGAAATTGCAGATCGATAGGCGTGGATTTTTAAAGAATATTTTTTCAAGGATTATCCAAAAGGCGTGGATTTTTAAAGAATATTTTTTCAAGGATTATCCAAAAGGCGTGGATTTTTAAAGAATATTTTTTCAAAGAATTATCCAAAAGGCGTGGATTTTTAAAGAATATTTTTTCAAGGATTATCCAAAAGGCGTGGATTTTTAAAGAATATTTTTTCAAGGATTATCCAAAAGGCGTGGATTTTTAAAGAATATTTTTTCAAGGATTATCCAAAAGGCGTGGATTTTTAAAGAATATTTTTTCAAGGATTATCCAAAAGGCGTGGATTTTTAAAGAATATTTTTTCAAGGATTATCCAAAAGGCGTGGATTTTTAAAGAATATTTTTTCAAGGATTATACAAAAGGCGTGGATTTTTAAAGAATATTTTTTCAAGGACTAGCAGACCAATAGGCGTGTATTTTTTAAAGAATATTCTTTTCAAGGACAAGCAGACCAATAGGCGTGGATTTCCTAAAGAATATTTTTTTAAGGACTAGCAGACCAATAGGCGTGGATTTCCTAAAGAATATTTTTTTAAGGACTAGCAGACCAATAGGCGTGGATTTCCTAAAGAATATTTTTTTAAGGACTAGCTGGCCAATGGGCGTGGATTTATTACAGAATATTTTTTCAAGGATTTACAGGCGTGGATTTCTTAAAGAATATTTTTTTTAAGGACTAGCAGACCAATAGGCGTGGATTTCTTAAAGAATATTTTTTTTAAGGACTAGCAGACCAATAGGCGTGGATTTCTTAAAGAATATTTTTTTAAGGACTAGCAGACCAATAGGCGTGGATTTCTTAAAGAATATTTTTTTAAGGATTAACAGGCGTGGATTTCTTAAAGAATATTTTTTTAAGGACTAGCAGACCAATAGGCGTGGATTTCTTAAAGAATATTTTTTTAAGGACTAGCAGACCAATAGGCGTGGATTTCTTAAAGAATATTTTTTCAAGGACTTACAGGCGTGGATTTCTTAAAGAATATTTTTTCAAGGACTTACAGGCGTGGATTTCTTAAAGAATATTTTTTCAAGGACTTACAGGCCTGGATTTCTTAAAGAATATTTTTTCAAGGACTTACAGGCGTGGATTTCTTAAAGAATATTTTTTCAAGGACTTACAGGCCTGGATTTCTTAAAGAATATTTTTTCAAGGACTTACAGGCGTGGATTTCTTAAAGAATATTTTTTCAAGGACTTACAGGCGTGGATTTCTTAAAGAATATTTTTTCAAGGACTTACAGGCGTGGATTTCTTAAAGAATATTTTTTCAAGGACTTACAGGCGTGGATTTCTTAAAGAATATTTTTTCAAGGACTTACAGGCGTGGATTTCTTAAAGAATATTTTTTCAAGGACTTACAGGCGTGGATTTCTTAAAGAATATTTTTTCAAGGACTTACAGGCGTGGATTTCTTAAAGAATATTTTTTCAAGGACTTACAGGCGTGGATTTCTTAAAGAATATTTTTTCAAGGACTTACAGGCGTGGATTTCTTAAAGAATATTTTTTCAAGGACTTACAGGCGTGGATTTCTTAAAGAATATTTTTTAAGAACTAGCAGACCATAGGCGTAGATTTATTAAAGAATATTTTTTCAAGGACTTACAGGCGTGGATTAAAAAAAAATTCAAGGACTTACAGGCGTGGATTTCTTAAAGAATATTTTTTAAGAACTAGCAGACCATAGGCGTAGATTTATTAAAGAATATTTTTTCAAGGACTTACAGGCGTGGATTAAAAAAAAATTCAAGGACTTACAGGCGTGGATTAAAAAAAAATTCAAGGACTTACAGGCGTGGATTAAAAAAAATTCAAGGACTTACAGGCGTGGATTAAAAAAAATTCAAGGACTTACAGGCGAGGATTTTTAAAAAAATATTTTAGTCGCGGATTTTTTTTAAAGAGTACTTTGTCCCAAACAAGCATATCCGTAGGGGCTGATTTTTTAAAGAATATTTTTGCCCAGACAAGAACAGCCGTGGGCGCGGATTTTTTATAGAGAGACATTTGGCAGGTCGTGAGATAGTATGAAAGGGACTATCCTCACATGGCCACTAGGGATAGCAAAACACTTCCCTAAACTAGCAGATCTATGAAAATGAATTTCTAAAGAATTTTTAGAACTATGAACAGGCTCGTTTCCGATTGATTTATGTATGCACATCAATCCGATATTATATTACCTACTAACCCAGTTTCTTGATCTACATTTAATCAATGATGTGATAAATTTTCCACTCACACATATGGTTGGATGTTTTTACTCGTCTACATACCAACACAAACATACACAATTTATGTGCGGTTTAAACAATTTGTATGTACGTTTATTTGGCGTGACGCATAATCGTCAGTGCGACCGCAAACTGCATGCTATGCTATGCAAATAATCAATGAATTTTCTTTACAATTCATATTTACGAAATATAATACCTTCGTTGAATTCGCGATTGAGTCTGGAAAATGGAATTGTTTAAATTATTCAAAATTAACGTGGCATGTTCACTTGATATTCATAGGAGGTGTTTGTATTGAATGACAGTTGATTGATTGAGACCGCTATGTTGGTGACCCATAAATCATAGACGAGACAAAAAGGAAACCGTATCGGGAATGTGTCGGTTTTTTATTAATACGCGAGTTTTTTTAATGAATATTTTTAGACAACTTATAGACCAATAGGCGTGGTTTTTTTAATGAATATTTTTAGACAACTTGTAGATCAATAGGCGTGGATTTTTTAATGAAGATTTTTAGAGGACCAACAGACGTGGATTTTCTAATGAATGTTTTTAGAGGACCAGCAGACCAATAGGCGTGGATTTTTTAATAAATGTTTTTAGAGGACCAGCAGACCAATAGGCGTGGATTTTTAATTAATGTTTTTAGAGGACCAGCAGACCAATAGGCGTGGATTTTTAATTAATGTTTTTAGAGGACCAGCAGACCAATAGGCGTGGATTTTTAATTAATGTTTTTAGAGGACCAGCAGACCAATAGGCGTGGATTTTTAATTAATGTTTTTAGAGGACCAGCAGACCAATAGGCGTGGATTTTTTAATTAATGTTTTTAGAGGACCAGCAGACCAATAGGCGTGGATTTTTTAATTAATGTTTTTAGAGGACCAGCAGACCAATAGGGTGGATTTTTTAATGAATGTTTTTAGAGGACCAGCAGACCAATAGGCGTGGATTTTTTAATGAATGTTTTTAGAGGACCAGCAGACCAATAGGCGTGGATTTTTTAATGAATGTTTTTAGAGGACCAGCAGACCAATAGGCGTGGATTTTTTAATGAATGTTTTTAGAGGACCAGCAGACCAATAGGCGTGGATTTTTTAATTAATGTTTTTAGAGGACCAGCAGACCAATAGGCGTGGATTTTTTAATGAATGTTTTTAGAGGACCAGCAGACCAATAAATGTGTAATTTTCCTATTCATTTCCCTCTCTCTTCTTTTTTCCAGAATAATACTCATTGCCGCTTTGGTTATTGTCTTAGTCCTTAATGACAGATATACAACACCCTATGTTTTGCTAGCGACAAATTCCAGTTCATCTCGGAATCACACAAATTCCTTAGCAAATGAGACGTTGTGGCGTTTGGAGTCTCAAACCTCACCCATACCCGATGAACCGGAAAATGAGTGGGCTTTACGGAAATTACATCTAAATCAGTCGATTAGCGATTGGGCTATTGGAGAGGGCATTAAAGCTTTGGGTGATCGGGAGCTATTGGAAGAAGGTCTTGAACCAACACCCGTGAATTCGCCAGCCTTCCGTCATTATCGTTCGTTGAGTACAAATCCACAGTCGAGAAAATTGGCGCGACGTGGTTTTGTTGAGAATTCAGCAACTCTGAGTATTGCACGACGCTTTAATTATACCAAACGGCCGGGTAGATCAGATATAGGACGAGGACCAAAAATTGTACTACCCGATCCAACATCAAATATAAAATGTGATTTTAATTCGAAGTATCGTCGTCCCAGTGGAATTTGTAATAATAAAAATCATCCCCGACATTATGGAGCCTCATTGATATCCTATCGGCGTATGGTTAATCCGGATTATGAAGATGGTATTGGTTTACCGCGTGGCGTACAGCCGAATGGTACAACTCGTCTGCCTCCAGCCAGGGAAGTTTCGGCCAAAATATATCGCTCTTCATATGAAACAGATTCAAATTTTACCGTTATGTTGGCAGTGTTTGGACAATTTTTGGATCATGATATTACAGCGACTTCGTTGACTTCATCACAGGAGGGAGAGTCCATTAATTGCTGTACCACGGATTTTAATAGCACCGTACATCCGGAATGTTTTCCGGTCACAGTGTTAAAGGATGATATTTATTATTCGAAGTATAACCTGACTTGTATGAACTTTGTACGATCAGCACCCTCGCCGACAGGCCATTTTGGTCCCAGACAACAACTGAATCAGGCAACATCGTTTATTGATGGTTCTGTGGTTTATGGTAATTCCGATTTACGGCAAAATAATTTACGAGCCATGGTCAATGGTACCTTGAGAATGTACATCACGGCCGATGGTAGGGAGTTATTGCCCATTTCCACAAATTTGGAGGATGGTTGTAATCGTGCCAGCAAAATACGTCAGGGACGTTATTGTTTTGAGTCGGGTGATGATCGGGCCAATGAGAATTTACTGCTGACCTCCATGCATTTGTTGTGGGCTCGTCATCACAACTACTTGGCCCAAGGACTACAAAATGAAAATCCCGATTGGAATGATGAGACCATTTTTCAGGAGAGTCGTCGTATATTGGCTGCCCAAATGGCTCACATAACCTATAATGAATTTTTACCCATTCTATTGGGTAAAGAGTTGGCCGAAAAGAAAGGTCTGCTACCGCAAATGGATGATTTAGATGCTCCCGATACCTATGACCGCAATGTCAATCCTTCCATAGCCAATGGTTTTGCAGCGGCTGCGTTCCGTTTTGCCCACACACTGTTGCCGGTAAGTGGTGGAAATGCCAAGGAACCCAGTTCCTCTTTTAATTTCGTTTTCCTCCCAGGGTCTCTTCAACGTAACCAAAAATTACAGTGATCCCGAATCAATTGAGTTGCACAAAATGCTTTTTAATCCTTTCTCGTTGTGGTCCAATGGTGGCATTGATCGCGCCATGCTTGTGGCCAGTAATACCCCAGTTCAACGGGTTGATCGTTTCTTTTCGACCGAAATTACGCAGAAATTATTTGAAGGCACTTCGGAGGATACAGTACCGATCTGTGGTCTGGATTTGGTATCATTGAATATACAACGTGGTCGTGATCATGGTTTACCGTCATATCCTATCTATCGGAGACATTGTAATTTATCACCGGTTGATACATGGGAAGAAATGGCCGATGCTGTGGATGCTGACTCGTTGGCTTCGATAAGGGGAATTTATGCGTAAGTGGATATTTTTGGATGTAAGAGGGTTGTTGATATTTTGAAAACAATTATTTCAAGGACTAGTAGAACCACATGACACATTTTTCAGACTACAGAATAGAGAGTAATAGAATTGGGTCGCTCCAGAACGAATTAATTCAAAGAAACTATTTCGCAAAAGGAACGATCGGTACTAGGTCACCTAGCTCATTTTGATTCAATTGTTTATTGACCGATAAGACCAATAGGCGTGGATTTTTAAATACTGATATTAGAGGACTAGAAGACCAATAGGCGTGGACTCTTAAATACTGATTTTAGAGGATTAGAAGACCAATAGGCGTGGATTTTTAAATAATAATTTTAGAGGACTAGAAGGCCAATAGGCGTGGATGTTTTAAATACTAATTTTAGAGGACTAGAAGGTCAATAGGTGTGCATTTTTTAAATACTTATTTTAAAGGACTAGAAGACCAATAGGCGTGGATTTTTTAAAATAAAATAAAATTTTCTAAATACTGAATTTTATTCAGCTCTCCTCACGATGTTGATGTTTATACGGGTGCCCTAAGTGAACCACCCTTGGAGGGTGCAATATTTGGCCCACTATTGGCTTGTATGGTGTCAGATCAATTTCTGCGTTTGAAGCGAGGCGATTCGTTTTGGTATGAACGTAAAATGGGACCACAACGTTTTACCAAGGGTGAGTATTTTTGAAATCAAAATTTAGAGATTTAGAAATATATTTTTCCTTTTCTTCAGATCAACTGCGTGTTATTTACAACACAACATTATCTCAGATCATATGTCGCAATTCCGATGATATCGAAGAAATTCGCAAATATGTTATGGAACATCGTTCAGATGAACCAAACGTCTTAATACCATGCAGTGATTTAAGAGATTTCGATTTTAGTCCCTGGAATGAAAACGAACAGCCAGCCAAATGGCATTCGGCACATATTAGTTCACCGATGACTGCAGTACGAATCATGCTGCCGGAATCAAATACAACAATGAATGGAAATGATTTATTAATAATAGATACAAATAAAGGCACATAGAAGTAGGAGAGGTTATGTGGTTATGGGAAGTAAAGAAAAATATAGAAAATTCACGCGATTGTTAAAATGTGCTTCACAGTAATGTCATACTGGTCATTAATATTTGTTTTTTTATTTTTGTATTATTCAAAAAATACACACAAAATAAAAAAATGTTTTTATATTATTTTATTTATTAATTTAAGGGATTGAAGGCCTTTACACAGAAGACCTCTCCGCACATATTCTATCAATAGCAGAAGTCATGAGGAACATTACCGATAACTTATATAGGTCCTCTTTTATCGCACTTATATCACGTGGTGCCCAGCATTTATCCCGGAAATCTACTAAAGACTTTAACAAAAATAAATTCCCGAAAAAATAAATATTTTTTTGTTTATTCATCACAAGGTCATGGACCGATAAGCTGCAATAATGTGCAGCACATGTACGTCCCAGTGACATATTACGCATAGAGAAGCGTAATTTAAAGAAAACACTTTCCAAGAACTCTTATCATTGAACAAAATTTTATGGGACATACGTATGACATACATAATCTTCGTATGGATTACCTAGAATTATGCAATTCGGATGCTATCAGCCAATGAACTCTTTGGGAAGACATCTGTTCGAATGAAGTAAAATTTTTGGAGAACTACAGGGCCAATAGGCGTGAATTTTTTAATTATTAATTTTAGAGGACTACCACACCAATAGGCGTGGATTTTTTAAATATTCATTTTAGAGGACTACCACACCAATAGGCGTGGATTTTTTAAATATTCATTTTAGAGGACTACCACACCAATAGGCGTGGATTTTTTAAATATTCATTTTAGAGGACTACCACACCAATAGGCGTGGATTTTTTAAATATTCATTTTAGAGGACTACCACACCAATAGGCGTGGATTTTTTAAATATTTTTTTACCACACCAATAGGCGTGGATTTTTTAAATATTCATTTTAGAGGACTACCACACCAATAGGCGTGGATTTTTTAAATATTCATTTTAGAGGACTACCACACCAATAGGCGTGGATTTTTTAAATATTCATTTTAGAGGACTACCACACCAATAGGCGTGGATAGGCGTGGATTTTTTAAATATTCATTTTAGAGGACTACCACATCAATAGGCGTGGATTTTTTAAATATTCATTTTAGAGGACTACCACACCAATAGGCGTGGATTTTTTAAATATTCATTTTAGAGGACTACCACACCAATAGGCGTGGATTTTTTAAATATTAATTTTAGAGGACTATAATTTCGGTATTTTCAAGTAAATTTTTGTATTTTCATCCACTGTATTAGACATTTGAGTTTACTGCCCAAATAATTCCTTTCTTTGCGTAGATTTTAAAATTGTCAAGATAATATCTTTTTTTCGTTATCATTTCTTTTTATCAAATTTAAATTAATTTACAATTCTTAGATAAATATATTTTTTGCTTTACAAAAATTATCACAATTTTCTTCAGAACCAAAAAAACTTTGCTTCATAGAAGCAACTAATTTTTTTTCTTCAAAATCACATTCAATATTTTTCTTAAGGCTATTTTTATATATAAATTAACCAAAACTATATTTAAGGTATTATTGCCAATTTAGAAGATAAAATACTTGACATGGTTGATGTTATGGTCGTCGTGGTCGTCGAAGACAATAGTGACGAAGCTGGTAATGACGTCGTAGAAGCTACTAATAACGAATTAGCTTCAACGACAGGACATGTCGTTGCATCGAATTCCCAATAGGCAATCAAACAGGCTATGACCAAGGTCAAAATTAAAATCAACCAAAATAATATAAATAAAATCCAACGAAATTTTTGCCACCAAGGATCATCCTGGAAGGGCAACAATTCAGCCAGGGTCAGAGATGAGGGATATCTGTAAAAAAAAAGAATTTTTAACTTAAAATTTATTTTGAGAACATCAAGGCAAATTACTCTTCTAAATTAAATATGGGTTCATATTCATCCGGATCTTTGCTCACATTAACAATGTGCTCGTCAGGTATTTCATCCTTTAGGTTTACCACCTCTCGTTGGGTACCATAATTTGTTTTGGGTTTGTGTAGAATTCGTTTCTCACGATAATTGGTTAACAGAACTGTGGTTTCATTGGGTGGCATTTTTATTAAATTTATTTTTTTTTAAATACTGCAAATTATTTCTATTATTTTTTAACAAAAAATTTGCCTAATTTTTCTTGTTCAAAAAAGCCTCGAAATCCCCTGCTTGCTTTTTTAATTTTTTCTTGTTGTTGTAAGCACCACGAGATTCAAACTGAAACTGTTTTCATTTCATTGGATTTCAGTCAAACGAAATATTTTTTTTGTTATTGTTGCCGTATTCGGTGGTGTCTGTCGCGGCATTGTCTATGTTTTTGTTTCCGTAATTAAACCAACAACAACAACAAATTATTTATTCTTCTCGACAATATTGTTATCTCTGTCCGAGGGGAGGTGGGAGGGAGACGAGGCTCGTGCATCTTGAGCAAACTTTCAAACTGCTGCTGGCGCTGGTCTAGGAAAGTTACGCATTTCGTTGCTCTGGCCATACTCCAAAACATTTTTATTTGTTGCCTTATCACAAGATTTTTTTATGGAAATTGGGTTTGTGGGAATTTTTTTGCAGGCCTTTGCGTACATATGCAGAAAAGCCTAACCTATAAACAAGAAGACCCATAATAATATAAGTTGGAAAATCCTAAGCTAGAAAATTTCGAACCTAAAAACATTAGAACTTGGAAAATCCCAATGCAAAAATAAAAGCAGTGAGTGAAGCAGTATAGTCGGACGGGGCCGACCATGTGATACCCTACACAACTTGCACGAAAATCTAACTTTCTGTGGTTATATATTCTGAGCATGGAAAATATTTCGCTATATTTGCACTCTCTTGACCGACTAGAGGTCAACAAATATTACTAATATTCAGTAAATCAATTCGACTCGAAAAAAAAACTCAAAAAAATAAAGTTTTCGGTCCACCTCATCCCAATATTATTATCTGAGCATCACCGAAAATTATAGGCGTAATCCTTGACCATACATGGATCCTCATGGAACATTTCAAAGCGATCCGCGCTGTATTTTCCCCTCTAGTGTGGTAATGTGTTACTAAGAGTACGTAAGCACCTGTAAATATTTAAATGTAACCCCCACATCCGAGTACATACGACAATATAATTGGTATAAGTTTAAAGGTCAACCACTCCTCTTTGATATACTATGAACTTCTCGGCTCTATGCCATTCATGAGTAAATATATACGCTATAGAATACAAATTCTGTCATTTTTCACACAAAAGTGAGGGTCAATTTGACCCGCTAAATATTGACCGATATGCTTATTCAGTGGCCCAATCCCCTTCTCCATGTAGAAATTCGCGAGGTTTGGGCCATAATTGCGGCCTCTAGAGCGTCCAGAAAATCAGACAAAAATTTAGTTTTTGGTCCATTTCATCCCCTAAATATTAACCGATCTTTACCAAAAACAATAGGGGTCTTCATTGGCCAGAACTCATTCTACATGCAAAATTTGGTGAATATTGGTACATAACTGTGGCCTGTATCGTGTTTACAAATTGTAATGGACGGACGGACGGACGGACACACATGTCTAGATCGACTCAGCTAGTCGAGATATGACGATCGGTATACTTAAAGGTTGGTCTAGGACCAATATTTCGCGGCATTACAAACTCTTGGAGATGCACAAAGCTATAATACCCTGACAACATAGTTGTGTAGGGTATAAAAAGTAAAATAGTCGTACCGAACTTTTTAATCGTTCAGTACATTCCTATTTGCCGGGCTGTGCCATCGTAACATTTTGGTAGAAATATTTGACACTCAATGACGAAATTAGAGCCAATTCGGTTGAAAAACGTGTCAATAATCCCACAAATACCGAATATGGGGGAACTGTTATATGGAAGCTATCGTAAAATTTGAACCGGTATCGGTGATTTTTGGTTGGGAGATTTGTTAACGATTAAGAAATGAAAATGCTAAATTATATCCATTTTGGTTAAAAGCGGGTCCAGAATCCCAAAAATACCGAGGTATGGGTATACCGTTATATGGGAGCTATCCTCAAAAGTGGACCCGATAATTTTTGGTAGGGAGATTTGATATGAGAATCTACAATATTAAATTGTAGCCAATTTGGTTGAAAAACGAGCCCAAACTTCCGAAATGTGGGAGGTATTGTTATCTAGGGGTTATTAGTTATACGGTGATATATATATATATATATACATTGTGGGGTATCCGGTAAATATTTCCATCTTATGATGGAGGGTATAAAAATATCGAACTTTCATTCAAAATATGGATCTGTGGACGGATTTTGGTTGACAGTCTCATAGGAAATGATCTAGTGTCCCTAAATCCCTAAGTCTTAGATCACCTCCTTTCTAAAGTGACCTTCCTAACACTGGGATTTAATGCTCAGTGTTTCACGGTTTAGAGTCGGGATGCGCCTGAAGAAGTTATTCAGGCTGAGTTGACTTCCATTGTATGAGGCATATCCTCACTCAACAAACTCTCATGGAAACTTCAGACAAACAGTCGTTATCCCCTCGCTCTTCCTCTTCTAGAAACAAATTGGGATAATTGGCTCATCTTAGAAAGTACCCAAATTTTGGCTACGTCGTGCCCACCAGTGTTTTCCGAGTCAGGAAGTCCAAGTCCTTACCGCGGTATGAGGCAAATACTTACATTCCAACTTCCATGGAAACTTCAGACAAATCCGCCATCTTCTAAATATAAACTGAATTACAATGATGTTGGTGTGGCTGCCTTCGGCACCCCCAGTTTCGACTTCTCCAAGTGCAGCTTCAACAATTACATCGACATCGACTTTTGAATTTTTCATTAAAATTTCTCAACCTCATTGCTCTCGATGATATAAACGCAAGACAGACAGAATCAGACAGACATTGATCTAAACATGGAAATCGGCTCATTCCGCCTCAGCTTAAAGAGAGTGTCCCGGCCCATATCTGGTATGTTCCACCCTTGATCCAAGGTGATGTCAATCTTGGCGGAGATGGAAACTAAAACTCTATAACTCAAGACAAAAATTCATTGAAGTGGATGCTGTTGTTGATGATCTACCCATTGAAACAATCGATGATCTATTAACGCAATCAATCGCCAAATGTATCAATGCTAAGGAAGCCTCCGACAAAAATTTACTGGATAGCAATTAGCTTTTGTGACCGGTTCATCGACTGAACAGGAATACATTTACCTCTAAAAAATTCTTCGGATAAAGAGGAACTTCAAATGTATTTCCTAGTTTTCAAGGAATTATTCCAATGATATTCTGAGTGACTTCTATATCAGAAGAATTCCGACGTCACGTGTATGGGTGGCTCAAGTTACGCCCCGACGAAGGAAAAAAAAACACTGGGAAGCACAAGAATGACTGCGGAAATGATGCCAGCAATTTTAGATCAATCAGAACCTTCGAAGGGGCACCCTGAATTATAAGAAATTCTTGGCACTTTCAATCAATGCGAAGGAAGACAAGGGTGTGTATAAGTTGGCTAGAAGGAGAACCCGTAAGAACACATGAAAAAAGGTGCATGTAATGGAAACCCCTTCCGTACAAAAAAAAAAACTATTCAATTCAATAAAATTGACAATAGTGATTTATGTTTTGTCATTGAACCCATATGAAGGCCCGTCCCATTTTTATACCCTCCACCATAGTATGGAGGGTATATTAGTTTTATTTTTCCGTTTGTAACACATCGAAATATTAATTTCCGACCCTATAAAGTATTTATATTCTAGATCAGCGTAAAATTCCATGACGTCTGTGTAAACTTCGTCTAAACTCGTCGTCGAATTGAGATAGATCACCAAAATATTGTCTGCAGGCAGGTCAAGATCGAAGATGGGCTCTATTGGTCCACGTTTAAGGATAGCTCCCGTATAAGGGTACCCCCAATTTTCGGTATTTTGTGGTACCGTTTATCAACCAATTTAGCTGAAATCTGGTACATTGCGTTCTTATTGCGTACCAAATTTCTCTACCAAAAATGTTAAATATAGATCCACTTTTTCTTGTAGCCCCCATATAACGGTACAGCAAATTTTTGGTATTTTGTGATTTTGATTGTATTTTTTTTCGACCGATGTGGCTGTAATTGAGTACTTTTAGTTCCTACTGGGTAGGAAATCTCTCTACTAAAAAGTATAAATATGAGCCAATTTTTTCGGGTAGCCCCCATATAAGGTTAGCACCAATTTTCGGTATTTTTGGGTTCTAGAGCGCGTTTTCAACTGAATTTGCTGAAATTTGGTAGAATTTGGGTACCAAATTTCAAATTATAAATATAGGTTCATTTTTCGGGTAGCCCCATATTTAATTCTCTATTCTCCTGGGAGCAGATTTTTATACTCTACACAACTATGTTGTCAGGGTATTATAGCTTAGTGCGGCCCAAGAGTTTGTAACGCCCCGAAATATTGGTCCTAGACCCACCTTTAAGTATGCCAATCGTCATATCTCGACTAGCTGAGTCGATCTAGACATGTGTGTCCGTCCGTCTGTCCATTATAATTTGTAAACACGATACAGGCCACAGATATGGACCAATTTTCACGAAATTTTGCATGTGGGATGGGATCGGCCCAATGAAGACCCCTATTGTTTTTGGTAAATTTCGGTTAATATTTAGGGGATGAAATGGACCAAATACTTAATTTTGTCGGTTTTTCTGGTCGCTCCAGA